CTGCATGTGCATCAGTATATGACACGACTGGTTTGAAACTTCCAATTAATCCTAATGGTTCAACGATGCTGAACTTTCCATTTGGTATATTCATTGATGCGAATGATGTCGTTTATGTGGCAGACAGCAACAACAATCGTGTTTTGACGTGGGCGCAGGGTGCAAGCGCGGGAACAGCGATCATTCAATCTACACAACCTCAGGGTGTCTATGTTGACAGTAGCGGACATGTCTATGTTGTTTCGAGGGATAACTCAAAATATATATCTAAATATCCACCAGGCATCAATCAAACTGCAACATTAATTGGGCCGATTTCAAATAGCAGTGACAGCAGCTATGCAATTTTTGGCGATCTGGCGGGTAACTTGTATGCCAGCGACTATGATAGGGGCATAGTTAACAGATTCAACTTAACCGGAGGGAATTACTCAGGGCCAACGATAGTTGCAGGTACTTACGGTTCAATGGGAACTGGACCAAATCAATTGGGCGAAGCAGATTTCATTTATGTAGACCCTAGCAATGTTGTTTATGTAAGCGACAGTGCAAACAGCCGTATTCAGAAATGGGTACCGCCATACACTGCTGGTGTCTCGATAACTGGAAACGGCTCGTTATACCATGCGGAAGGGTTTGTCGTAGACCCGTGTAATGGCAATATTTATGTCGCTGATCGATATAATAATCGCTTGCAAGTGTTTCCTCCGGGTAATCTGACGGGGACAACGGTGATTCCTAATACAACACTATCATCGCCACTGGGCGTAGCGTTCGATTCGAAGGCAAATTTGTATGTTACTGATAGCGTGAATAATTGTGTATTCAAATTCAATCGATTATGTAAGTACGTTTTCTATGTTGTAGACAGATGAGCTAGAAGAGGACACGTAATGACAAATGTGCCACATCTGGTAGATGCTAGGTGGCAATCCAGAACCTTTGGTCTCCAAAAACTGACTTCGTGCAAGTAGATCACTGAGCTTTTCTAGAAAATTGTATGTTCGGGGCAATGCTTCGTCTTCGATGAAGTAAACGTTTATAACTTGCGGACGTTACCCTGGATGAATAACCCTCAATTAGGTAGTCCTCATTCGACAGAAATGTATGGTTCAGAGATGAAACGATGCCAGAACATATTTGAATTTTCACAGACATACGTTGGCAATAGTGCTGTACTGAAGCGTTTAGAGACTTGGATGAATAGCTTTAATTACAAGGAATCTTTTTCTCTATGAGGTTTTTATAATTACATTGGACATTGATATGTTTTGCTCGAAAAGGCTTAGTTGAGACCATCGTGAGCTGCCAAACTCCGATTTCAACTTTCTTTTTTACGATAAACACTATATAGTGTCGTAGTGAAAACCCTGAAAGGATTTGGGTGTATGACGCTGCTTTGGAAAGTTATGGACTTTTCTATTATCCCCGCCCAGAGCGTTGCCTAAATTTTAAAAAATTCAGAAGTGCAGCAAAGGGCATAGTAAAGAGCTAAGCTGTTTTCCTGTTTCACAGTTAGATGTCTTCTATTAACACAAAACAGTTCAGCCCCGGACAGATAATTCATTCCTGAGTTGTAGGATTTTTCAAAAATGCTAAAGAAGTGTGTTTCACATGGACAGACAATTCATGTCGTGTCAACAAGTGCAGTGAAACAACATTCATTAGTTGTAGCTGGTATAAAAAAGAACTTTACTTTAACCATTTCTTCGCCTAATACCGTTTCTGGAACTTGTACACATCAAAATGGCATGCAGTGTAATCTGAGAAACATGATGGATTGAGAGGTCGAGTAGCTCCCACTTTGCAAATGACACTCCCGGGTACCGCCTCATAGATAAATATAGTTTTCGTTTACACTTACCAGAAAACCCACATCATAAGACAGTTACCGATTACACTGATCAGTATGCCACCAGACTACCCCAGCTAAACTCACCTGTGGGGAAAATGTAGATACATTTCGGCTGTCAGCGAGCGATACACAAGTACTAGTCATCTAGATGAGTATTAGTCGTTCCAAAAGTCAAGAGCCCTGGCTGTTCTTGAATAACTGTAGATGCCAATGTGATAGAGACCTCCGATTTTCGCTGTTCGGTAAACAATACTTGGTTGGAAGTTTTCATGGGCGGAAAGAACTTTTGAAAAAGAGTTTCCGGAGGATCTTTAATAAACCAGCTGCGTTGTCAGAATACTAACATACAATGTTAGCAATGTTTTTGCAGGCTGAGATTGCCCGGACGTTACTCGACAAATTAGGCAAGTCCCATCTATCTAGCTATCCTCGTTCGGACAGGGCTCTCTTTTCCCGAGTACGTGTCTTTCTCTGAGCAGACATCTCTGGGAATCGCGAAATGCCATGGAATATCGGTAATCGACTACGCTGAGCATAAATGCCAACTTTTGTTTCTGTGTATAATTGAGTATAACTTCGGCAGAGGCATTTTTGTGAAAAACTGGTTTTTTCGCCTGTTACTAAGAAAAATTCAAATTCTTATATTTTCATCAAATTTCATGCTTACTCAAGGAACCTTTCAAGAAAGACTTAAAAAGTCCCATATTTTTCTGATCACAAAACAGTTTAGCCCCAGACAGATAATTCATTCCTGAGTTGTAGGATTTTTCTATAATGCTAAAGAAGCATGTTTCACATGGACAGACAATTGATTTCGTTTCGACAAGTGTAGTAGAACAACATTCTTTAGTTGTAGCTGGTATAAAAAGCAACTTTACTTTAACCGTTTATTTTGTTTATTCATTATTCACTATTGTTTTAATCAACTTCTTATTGCGTCTCTATTTATGGTAGGCTCCCGTTTCTGTGTTTCCGTTGTAGTGTATCTCACGTTGAGTTCAGGTTCATTGTTTTACTTTAAGTTTCACAAGATAGTTTTCTGTGGTAGTTTAAGAGATGTTACTGTGCTTCAGGAAAAATTGTTTTACCGTGCATATTTGTTTACTGACATATTTGTTATGTTGCCAAAGAACAAAACACGCACAGAAAATGATTTGCATTACTTTTTTTGATGACATCGTAGTTGATAATGAAGCTCTTCACGTTTTCTCGAGAACTAGCACACTAATGCACTTTACTATTTTTTTGAAATATAGAGCTTCGCCTAGCAACAGTCCTGAAGCAAATACATGATGCATTAATTTGTAATTCTGTGGGTTCTTGACTTGATTAAAAAATTAACACATTAAGCTTTGTTCGTTGTAGAGTTTGTTGGCCAATGAAGGTTTTGTGCTTGGAAAGTCCGCAGAAACAATATAATACAACCTTTTGTATTCTCGTTGCAAAATATTTATTGTAAATGTGTTTTTTCGGTTTTTTTGTTCTCGTTACTGGAATTATGTTTTTTCGATTTTTTTTAGCAGTTTTAAATAAAATATAAAGAAACAATGATTTATGGAAGCATATTAATGTTCATTCGCGTTCTGTGACAGAAAATCTTTTGAACTTGGCAATAAATTGAAAGGAATTTATTTATTTGTCATTTTAATTAAAAAAGGACGAAATGTTTTGTCTCTCTTCTTCAAGATATCCTTTAAACGGGTAGAAGAAAGTTATGATGCTACAATGTAGAAATTATCAAAATTAAAAACTCTAACTAATTGGTTTCCCGGAAAGAACATAAAATAGAACGATGGAAACTTTTCTCAAATAATCACCATTGAACCTCAACTGTTTAAGGATTAAACGATCCCTCAGTGTTTTGAGCTATAGTAACTGTAATAACCAAACAGAAAAATCATATACCGAGATCAGGTATAATTCAAGAATTTTCTACTAGACCATTTTCATAAAACTAGAAAAAACGGAATAGAAAAGTAAGATTAAAAGAAACATACGAATAAAACAGTAAAATACAATAAATTCATAAAAATATCGCTTTTGCTTTATAAAAACTCCACTAAAAAAGTTTATCTTGTAAATGTCAAAATAATGTAGAATTTTGGATACTGAATCGAATCGTGGAACCACATATGATTAATTGTAAGTCGATGACCGATGATCGATGATTTTGTCCTTGTTACTCTGGTTAACATCTGAAAGGACAAAGAATAAACAACAGTTATTATCGTACGTAGAGCACAATGAAGCAATGAAAGCAAAGATCTTCTATTCAACCCAAAAAAGGACTATCACTGACTTCAAACTTCGTTGTTTCTATTTAATGCTGTAATGTTTAAAGTACAGTGTACCCCGATCACTTCCTAGGGGCACTACTTTAATTATGCATTGGCTATACCCAATGAGTCTGATTCTGTACGTCTATTTGTCTTTAGATGTCATCAAAGTTAAAAGGACACAGACAGGAAATATTCCGTTTCACACTAGGTTGCTTTCTATGTGAAAAAGGAGGGGGGAAAAGATGTGATTACAGAATAATCAGGAACAATGAACAAGAACAAGAACAAAGATTTCGTTCAAAAGTCGAGCCAGTTTTCTTGATTTGGCAAAACATGTTTCTTTGATCGGTGCTAATTTTCATTATTAATGTTATTCGAAATACACTTTAAAAACGAAACGTGCAGGTATCTGCCCAAGCTATCCGCTTTTTTTCTTATACTTGATTCTTTTATTTCTGAAAACAGCAAATAAACAACACAAACAAACGAATCAACAATCAATGGAGAGACTCTCATCGTTAGATGATAGTTTATCATTACCTCAGTCAATATCAGCTTCAAATGAACACGATAATGCGATCTTTAATGATGATTACCTTGCTATCTCCGTTAGGTGGTTGCTCATCGGTTGCTTAATACTAGACTTAGGAAGATTATACGCTTTCGTCCTAGACAGAAGCGATGACCTGTTGCAACTTTTTTTGGAAATGTTTGCAATTTTTTAGATCGTGTTGACTCAGATAATCTTAGCATCTGTGAGGCAGAAACGAAATACGAATTGCATGACGGTGATTTTCTATTATTTCAACAAGTTTTAATCCTCTACAGCCTATTACGTCATAGCTGAGCAATCGTTTATCAGTAACGCATTTCCTATTCGAACTACATTATTGAATTCTAGCGGCGGAAGAGCAAGAGTTACTGCTGGTAAATTCCTCACTAATGATGCCATATAACAACATTATAGTGAAACTGCACTGTGTTCTTTTTTTCAATTCAGATCAATATTTTCAATTACCTAATCAAATTCCATTAGTGACGTCGGGTTATGAGGAACTTGGTAATATGTTTGGATGAGACTATAGAGACTGCTTGGGACCATTACAGTGCTGATCCCCGTTAAAGTGTAGAACTACATTCACGAGTGGGTGCTCTTTTAATTAGGCATGCACCAATCCGATAGTTCGGTCACCAAACCGTTCGTTACCGAACATGTTCGGTGACCAAACTGTTCGCTGCCGAACATGTTCGGTCACCAAACTGTTCGCTGCCGAACATGTTCGGTCACCAAACTGTTCGCTGCCGAACATGTTCGGTCACCAAACTGTTCGCTGCCGAACATGTTCGGTCACCAAACTGTTCGCTGCCGAACATGTTCGGTNCGGTCACCAAACTGTTCGCTGCCGAACATGTTCGGTCACCAAACTGTTCGCTGCCGAACATGTTCGGTCACCAAACTGTTCGCTGCCGAACATGTTCGGTCACGAAACTGTTCGCTGCCGAACATGTTCGGTCACTAAACCGTTCGCTGCCGAATATATACTGACCTTTCATGTACCCATACGGTTTTGAATTATTAAAAAAAAGAAAAATTAAAATAATATGAATAATAATGAATACCGATGACAAGAGAATCGACCAATTCGATCAACAATCAGCAATCCAGTGACCTGTCTCGAAGTGCAGTTGGAAACTAGAGAGAGTACAATCACAAAAATAACTAAAAACGTTTTTCAGGTTGTATAATACTGTTTTTGAGATCAATATTGGATAGTTTCGACCAATCGATAGAATAATCCGAACATCAAGTCTAGTCAGTTTGTTGGGAAAAGTAATTCGTCAAAAAAAGATGTCTTTTTCATAAACCGCATATGAAAATGATTTTCTTCTTTCTCTTCGTTACTAAATTCAATAATGTCTCGGAAAAATGCAGTTATTGTAATATAAAAATATTAAGCTAAATATGTTATATAATATTTCATTGTATTAGAAGGATATATACCACGTTGAATCTGTTCGTTTTAATGGTAAATATTGTTTAGTTGATTTGAGATATCGATCAATCACAGATGCGCCATCACTGAAAAGACGACAAATTATCAATACAAATGTGACATTTATATCGTTGTCTTACTTTGCGTTTAGTTCAGTGTCACCGTACTAGTAGTAGCGCGTCGAATGATGTATTGCGCTAGGCTTAATATAGAATGGTTACTGAGAAATGTTGATTTTACAGTCATACTGTGGGTCCTAAATCATCGCTCCTTTTCGAGTGGATTCTGTCGGGTATATTCGACTGAAAGCGCTCGGAAGGGTCGAAATCATCGAATATCATAATTGGATGTGATTCTGATGAGGTTTTGCACCGATCGGAGCGGTTATTGTTAGTGCGCCGATTTCCGTTCTTATGCGGACTTCACCTTATCAATACAAATGTGACATTTATATCGTTGTCTTACTTTGCGTTTAGTTCACTGCCACCATCTTCTATTGGTTGTTCTAATGCTCCTTTCGTTTTTGCACTATTACTACTACCATTAATAATGTTAGCAGTACTTCTCGTGTTGTTCTAGTGAGAATTTAAGTTTTCTCGGTAAATTAACTGATCTGTCATATGAATCATACATTTTGTTAGAAGTCTCATTAGTAAGTTGTTGAGACAATTTTATTTGAGAAATTAATAGCGACTGCTGATGTCGTATTCTAGATGATCGTCTTGGATTTGTAGAGTATGGTGTTACAACAGCTCGATGTTTCTTTATTGTAGGACCAATTCGATCCGTTCACTCGAGAATATCTTTTCCATGTCTTCATCCGATTTTTCATCAGAGAGTACACTGAGACCATCTTGTTGAAACAAGCCTTTAGGAGCACCATGTTCCTGGAGTCTACGGAAACCCTGCCGTTCTGTTTATCCCACATAACTATCCTCACAATTACTACATTGGGCCAGATAGACTATATCTGACTGGAGATCCTTTGGAATTTTATCTTTCGTTCGAAAGAAAGTTTGTATAGCCGGTGGAGGCTTTGAGACAAATCG